GCATACAGAGAAGCGTCCTGGGCATGAAATACAACAAACACAAGACTCAGAAGGTACACAGAGAAAGGCAGACCAACCAGGGGCTTCAGGACTGGAGAAACATCACACCGAGTTCCCTTGGATTTCTTTTGGCCTTATTCAAGTACCTTGGACTGGGTGGTAGGGAAGCCTCAAATTTGGAAATGCCAAAAGGTACAGACCAAAAATAAAAGACTCAAGACAAGTACTCTCCAGAGACAAAGGGACCATTTTGGTTTACCCACAATGACCACTAGTCTCTAGAGCTAAATGCTCCAGGATTTGGAGAAACAGACGCCAAGATTCAAGAGACAGTAGCCCCTGGGAATATTTAGGTAGAATTTCAGGGAATCTTCCAAAGTCTGTCATTAACTGAATTGTGCTCTAGAAGTTGTCAACATGATTTGGTGATTGTTGTTGTTATTAAGTGCAACAGTTGTTTCTATGGTTTGGAACTGGCTGATTAGCACTTAACAGCAAAAACAACAACAAAAACCACCAGTCTGACAAGAGGATAAAATCTTCATGTCCTCAGGGCAGGGTTTCTCAACATTAGTACTAATGACATCTAGGGACAGGTAACTCTTTGTTGTAGGACGCTATCCTATACATTGCAGGTTGTCTAGCAGTATCTCAGACTTCTACTACTAGCTGCAAGAGGCAACCCCCACCCCCAACCCCCAGCTAGCTGTGATAATTAAAAATGTTTCCAAACACTGTCAAATGTTCCCTGGGAGCAAAATGGTCCTGAGTTAAGAACCACTGCCTTAGTACAGAGAGCATTTCTTTCTTAATTGGCTACAGAAGCACATAAGTGTAAATATTGATAAATTATAATATCTCAAAATTAAGAATTCTATTTGTTATAAAACAGAATAGGAAGAAAAAAAGAAAGTTAGAATGGGAGAAGATACAGCCAACACAGATAACTGACAAAGGGCTCTTTTCCAAAACAGATGAAGAACTGTTATAAATAAGAAAAAACACACAACCCTAGTAGGAAAATGGACAGACATGAATAAGTACTTCATAAAAGAGGGTATCTAAATATCTGAAAAACATATGAAAAAGGTTTCAACATTTACTGTTGTTTGTTGTTAACTGCTGTCGAGTTGGTTCCAACTCATAGAGATCCTGTATAGCGTTTCCAAGATGCGTCTGGTGAGTCTGAACCACCGACCTTGTAGTTCAAACTGACCTTGTAGTTCACTGTTTTAACCCACAGTGCCACACCAGGACTCCTTTAACCTCATTAATCATCATAAAAATATACATTAAAACTACAATAGATCAAAGAAAACCCACAGCAAACCTACTGCCATCAGGTCAATTCCAACTCATAGGGACCCTACAGGACAGAGCTGAACTGCCCCATAGGGTTTTCAAGGCTGTAACTCTTTTGGCAGCAGACCTCCAGTGGGGAGCCACTATTAATCTTGAACCAAGTACTTTCTCCTCACAAGATACACTGAAGTGGATAAAATTTAAGATGACTGACAATACCACATGCTGGTAGGGATATGAAACAATGTGACTTTTCATTAACTATTGAAGAAACGTACACAGGAACCACTGCTAGAGCAAACTGTTTGGTATCAACCACTAACGCTGAAAAAAAAAAAAAAAAAAAAAATATATATATCCTATTGTTGTAGCATAGTGGTTACGAATCAGGCTGTAAACCATAAGGTCAGCCGTTCGAAACTACCAGCTGTTCCATGGGAGAAAGATGAAGTTTTCTGCTCCTGTAAAGATTAACAGCTTTGGAAACCCTGTACAGGGTCGCTATGAGTCGGAACCAACTCCACGACACATACCAACAACAACAATTGTTGTTGTTAAGTGCCCTCGAGTTGGTTCTGACTCACAGCAACCTAGTACAGGGTATTCAAGGAGTGGCTGGTGAGTTTGAACTGCCAACCTTATGGTTCAAACCAACCATGCGGTCTGGTGCTTTATCCCACAACGCCACACCAGGACTCCATATATGCCCTAAAATCAGCAATTCTACTCATAGGTGCAAGAGGGCTCCTAAAAGTTCATGGAAACATTCCATTATACTTTAGTTGCATTTTTCCACAAACTTTTTGAAGCTTCCTCACATATACTCTCAACAGAAACATGTACATGTATTCACCAAGAGACATATGAAAGAATGTTCAGCAGCATTATTCATGACAGTGAAAACTGGACCCAATCTGAGTACCAACTGGCAGCAGAATGGACAAACTGCGGCATATTCACAGCACAGAACAATATTCCTAGTAAAAATGAAAGAATTGCAGCTTCATGAAAAATGAACATATCCACAAAGTGGAGTCAAACAAGCCAGAACTTCCACTGTAGGTTCAAAACCAGGCAAAATTTTGGAGAGCCCTAGTCAAAACCAGTATAGTAGTTGTGAGGACTGTAAATAGAGTAATGACTGGGAAGGGGCACAGGGGTTCAGACGATATTATATTTCCTGACATAAATCAAAGGCTGGCAATTACAGCTTGTAGCTCAAATTTGGCCTACTGCTTGATTTTTATGGCCGGCATGCCAAGAATGGTTGTATGTCTGCTTTTAAATGGTTGAAAAATAATGCTTAAATAATATACATAATGTGAAAATCAAATGTGTCCATAAATAAAGTTTTATTAAACTACTGCTATCCTCATTTGTTTAAATATTACATAAGACTACTTTTGCACTACATCTGTAAAGTTGAGCAGTTTCAATGGAAACTATGGATTGCAATAAATATTTACTTTCTGGCCCTTCAAAAAAAATATCTGCCAAGTCCTGACTTCTTGTTGTTAGGTGTCGTTAAGTCAGTTCTGACTCATAGTGACCTTACGTACAACAGAACGAAACACTGCACAGTCTGACACCATCCTCACAATTGTTAAGCTTGACCCATTCATTGCTGCTGCCACTGTGCCGATCCATCTCCTTAGGGGTCTTTCTCTTTTTGGCTGTCCCTCAGTTTTACCTACCATGATGTTCTTCTCCAGGGACTGGTCCCTCCTGATAATATATCCAAAATATGAGACACGAAGTCTCAACACCCTCGCTTCTAAGTTGCATACTGGCTGTACTTCTTCCAAGACAGATGTATTCTTCTGGTAGTCCACAGTACTTTCAATATTCTCCTCTAACACTAAAATTCAAAAGCATCAATTCTTCTACAGTCTTCCTAATTCAATGTCCAACTGTCACATGCATATGAAGCTATTGAAAATATCATAGCTTGGTCAGGCGCACCTCAGTCCTCAAACTAACATCTTTGTTCTTAAACACTTTAAAGAGGTCTTATGCAGCAGATTTATCTAATGCAATTTGATTTCTTGATTGCTGCTTCCATGAGTGTTGATAGTGGATCTGAACAAAATGAAGTCTTCTACAATTTTAATCTTTTCTCCATTTAAATGGATGTTATTTATTGGTCCATTGATGAGGATTTTTGTTTTCTTTACACTGAGATGCAACTCGCACTGAAGGCTGTGGTCTTTGATCTCCATCAGTAAGTATTTTAAATCATCTTCACTTTTAGCAAGCAAGGTAGTATCATCTGCACACTGTAAGTTGTTTGTGATTGTTTTCATCCAATCCTGATGCCATGGTCTTTTTCATATAATTCAACGTCTCAAATTATTTGTTGTGTACAGATTGAATAAGGAGCTATGGTAGTACAGTGGTTACAAATCGGGTTGCTAACCTCAAGTTCGGCAGTTCAAAACTACTAGCTGTTCCGCGGGAGAAAAATTCTGCTCCCGTAAAGACTTGCAGCCTCGGAAACCTTGTGCAGGGTCACTATGAGTAGGAACCAACTCCATGGTACTTAACAACAACAACAGACTGAATCAGTATGGTGAAAGAATACAACCCTGGAAAACACCTTTCCTAGTTTTAAACCATTCAGTGTTTTCCCTGTTCTGTTCAAACAACTGCCTCTTGGTCTATGTGTAGCTTCCTCATGAGCACAGTTAAGTGTCCCGAGATACTCATTCTCCACAATGTGGTCCATAGCTTGTCACAATCCACAGGCAAACATCTTTCTGGTATTCTCGGCTTTCAGCCAAGATCCGTGTGAGTAGGACAAACGGACAGATGAGTGGTGAAGTCCTGACGATGTAGCTATTGTATGAGTGTGTCTACTCTGCGATGATCTGTGGCATTGTACGATAAACACTAGACTGCTAACCCTAAGGCTGGTGTTTCAAACCCGACCAGCCACTCCTCAGAAATCCTATATAGAGTTGCTATCAGTCAGAACCTCTCAACACACTTAACAACAACAACACTTAAAAAATAGGGGCTCAACACTTAAAAATTCTTTGAAGTGTATATGAATATAAGAAGTAAAAACATGGGTTTATTATTATTATTACATTCCTACACTGTGGGTTTTAAAAATGAAAGTGCTGAAGTCTGGCATCAATGAAATGAAAGCTGTTTCAAATACAGTCAGGAAAGAACACACCATCTCACAGACCTAGCCCTGTGCTTGCCTCCTCCAATCTCTGTAGTCTGTGTTTTGTTTTTGTGAGCATTGCACATGTGTGGGCAGGCTTTATTTCAGTGCATGAGACGATGACTGAGGTCAGTTATGTGACTACTGATAACTGGTTTTCTTACTTTATAATGATAAATACAACTTCTTTCTTTTAGGATTGATGGAAATCAGAAAAATAAAATCTGTAGAACACTGCTTCTAAACCAGGGATCCTCAAGCAAGGATGGGTATCAGAGTCACCTGAGAGGTATTTTCCAACTCGTTTTCATGGCTCTGCTTACTCATTTTATTACTAAAAGCATAATGGTAGGTTCTGGGACAGCAAAGGTAGAGGACCATTGGCCGTATTATGGAAATAGCTATGATACAATAATATTCACTATAAGGATTTTCATAACTAATAAGTCTATTAAAATAGATGGTGGAAGAAGCTTGCTCTTTCAGAAACTAGAATAAAAAATAATATACATTAGAAAGCCCATACCTCTCCATTTTCAAATGTTATTTCTCGGACAAGAGGAACACATTTATCTTGAATCCAGTTGAAAGTTACATCAAAATTTGCCATAGATCCCAAGTAAACCATATCTGGAGCAGAAAGCTGTTACACAAACAGAAAGAAAAGGAAAAATGAAGTACATTTAATCTGCATTAGTAAAAAACGTGTCCTTAAATCCATCTGTGGACCCAGAAAACCTACAGAGGGCATAAAAGAAACATAAAATATGGAACTTTGGAACTTCTGAGAAAAAAGACTATAGCTGGGAGAAACTAACAATTCTGTGATTATCCAATCTGTGACGTCGAAGCCTTCTGCTCTTCTTAGGACTTCAGTCAATTAATTGTTTACTAGTATCTTCACCAAAGGCAGGCAGGCAGGCAGGCAGAGTGAAAGAATTATGCAATTGAATTATTGAACTACTCCTTACAATTGAAAATGTTAGAAGAAAATTTGGAGATTTCCAGTAAAGAAGGCTTGATAAAGTATGCATGTTAATCTACGGTATATCTATAGCTGCCACAAATTACCTGTAATATCTGCGTCTATGGTCACAAAACAATCAATGTTTATTAAGTTCCTAAAATGATGATAATAAAAATAATAGCTAACATCCAGTACTTTACTGTATCCAAGAACTACTGCACTTTCCATGTGTTGACTCATTTCATCCTCACAACATTGTTATGAGGCAGGTACTTTTACTGCCATCATCCCTACTTGTGCTAATGAAGTCAGTGAAGCACAGAGAAGCTAAGATACTATTCTAGTTTCCAGAGGAACGTGCCCAGTTAGGTCACAGATCTGATATTCAAACCCAGACAGTGTGACCCCGGAGCCTGACCCCAGAGCCCGTGCTCTTAATGACCACACTGTAGTAAAGATTCTAATCATCTAGAGATGCTTGACGGCTAGCCAAAAGATTGGCAGTTTGAGCCCAGCAAGCGGCTTCTTGGGAGAAAGACATGGTTATCTGCTACCGTAATGATTACAGCCTCGAAAACCCTATGCGGTAGGTGTATTCTGTCACATTGGGAGACTATGCATCAAATCTTGACTTTACAGACTCCAATATGAAAAGATGACAATACTATAAGTAAGCTACTATTAGAGAAATGCACTAATCTCAGAACAGGAAATGTGCTTCCTAAGCAAAACAAGACGCATTTGAGTACATAAAAAGTAATCAATCAACGTGTCAAAAATTGTAAGCAATATTAAAATGTAAACTATGAAATGAAAAATATCTATACACTTGTATTTCCAAGAGTATAAAAAAATGCAATGACAGATCTTTAGGTCAATATAGGATGACAAACCTTATCATTTTGTTGCTTAGTTGTGGAAATCATAGTCCAGGTCTAACTAGTTGACGTTTCAACACACTTAACTTCTTAACTCAAGCACTAAAACCAGCTTACATGCTCCTGAAAATATGGCATGTTACCAACCAAGCAAAATACCTCAGAAGATTTAGGAGCTGGATTAGTACAATATAGGTAAAAGTGAAAAGTTTTGGTTTTGTTTCTTTAAAATTTAGGGTCCAGTCTGAATACAAAACAGACAGATGGAGAAGGCCACGGAACCAAAGGATCACTAATCTCAGTTCTGCCACTAACACTGACTAGCTGCCTCTATGTCCCCATCTTTATTTTTAAGGCTTGTACCAGACAGGACATTACCCTGTCTTTTCCATTCTAAAATTTTATGCTTTTGTGAACATTAACATTTACAGAACTATATATTTACTGTATATATTTACAGGGAGTCCTGGTGTGGCACTGTGGGTTAATGCATTAGACTGCAATATCAGTTTGAACCACAAGGTCAGTGGTTCAAGTTCACCGGCCACTGTTTGGAAACTCTATACAGGGTTGCTTTGGGTCAGAACCGATTCAACAGTATTTAACAACAACAATATATTTACTGTACATTTATGTAAACTATATATAAAATTTCATACTAAGAAATAGCAACATACCACTGGTGGTTTGTAGATTATGTTGTCTCCACTGTATCTTTCTGGTTTAGAAACAGACCTAATACGAAGAGAGAAATAGTAATGATGACTTTTAAGGAAAACAATAGCAGTAGCATACCTGAATGAAGCAGATTTGGTTAGTTACTTAGCAACAGAAATTCTAAAGGTTTGAACTATATACTTGCCCATCATCTTTCCTGTTTATAAGTATAAGCAATACCATAAAAAAAAAAAAATGTACTACTACACAGAATTTTTTAACAGGAAATTTTACTTAGTTGTTTTTGTAGCTCATTATTTTTTACGTTTGGATTGGCAATTTTTCTACTAAAAAGCTGTTTTCTGACCCCAACCTGTTTTTCAAAACAGTGGGGATCTGGGTCATTCAGTGGGCCACATAGCAGGAAATATACACACACACGCACGCACACACACACATATATATAATTTACTTGCAAGACAAATTCAACTATTAATTTTCTACTTCGTACAACCAAACTCATTTAAAAACAAAAAACAGATGAACCGAAATAACCACCAACACCATTAGAATATAGGCCATTTTTTGTTTCTAATGCTGTTTTCTATGCCCAGCACAGCATATGGCACATAATATGTGTTCAATAAGTATTTAATCAGTGAATTTCACAACAAATTCTAAGTCAAATATGTAGCTTTCTGTCTAAATTATTTCTGGATTAATGGATTAGCACACTAGACAAGGGAAGGAGATGCTAACCTAGACTGATGACACAAGAATCTGTCCCATTACTTCAATGATTGATTAATTAACTCAGTAACTATCAGCTTCCTTTGGCTCTCAGTATATACAGCAAAACAAAACTGGATAGAGTCCTTTGCTCCAGTGGAGTTTACATTTTGGTGGGGAAAGACAGAGAAACAAGCAGATCCATTGATCGGGACTAATAATGTTGCTGTTGTTGAGTGCCATCAAGTCGATTCCAACCCATAGTGACCAGCTGGTTCAAACTCACCAGCTGCTCCTTGGAAACCCTATCCAGGGTCGCTATGGGTCGGAATCGCCTCAACAGCACTCAACAACAACAACATTATTAGCCCCTATCAGTAGATTTGCTTGCTTTTCTGTCTTTCCCCACAAAAATATAAGCTCCACTGGAGCAAAGGACTCTAAGTGGAGGAAAATACGAAGAAAATTAAGTGGAATTCAGGGATACAGAATGACAAGTACAAGGTGGTAGTACTATTTTAGCTAAGGTTCTGATGAGCTATGTGAGAGAAGCACTTCCAAAGAGAGAGAACAGGAAGGGCAAAGGCTCTGCTGCAGAAGTGTGCTTGCCAGCTTTGAGGAACAGCAAGGTGCCAAGCATGGCTGGAGAGCAGTAATGTGCAAAGCATAGAGGCAATGCTCCCATTATTTACTCTACATGTTGATCTTCAAAAACCCATCAATGTGTATTCTGGTATGTTTTTCTGTACATCAAAAAAAAAAACAAAAACATAAAAAGAAGGAATAGAGGTAAATACTATTAAATGATGATACATGGAGGGAATTGTAATCATTGCAATGAAACAAAATACAATTTGGTTGAGTGCAAAACCAACGTTCTCCCTTGTAAACTACCACTGAATTCACAATAAAAGCTTTGAAAAACAAAACACACACAACAATGAGTCTCCAATAGCACACCTACACACACAAGATCCTCAGAAGCATTCAAAGATAAAGGCTGGAAGTCACAACACATAGAGGATACACTGAAATCAACATGCTATTGCTACTGAGCCTAACAGGTCCAGGTCAGTGAATGAGGAGAAGGCATACTCTCCAACGAGACAACGTTCAATGAGAGGAGAAGCTCATCAAGGACAGAAACACAAGAATGAATCCATTCTAAGACTGCCCCTAAAATCAGGAAATTCTCAAAGCCAGAGAAGTGAGAAAGGTGAGGAGTAAGTGAGGGGCACTCCATGTAAAATAAGCTTGGATAAAGCAGGAAAAAGAAAGGGCGTTCAAGTGATACATCCTTCAGAGAAATTAAAGAGAGTAGACATATGTGAACTTGGGTGAAAGGGCAGGCAATATATGAGAGTGAGGTTGGCAGAGGACAGAAGAAAGTAGCGGAAGACACAGAGAGGAGTGCAAGAGTCAAAGTGACTAAAGAGAAGCACTGTTAACTGATGGTACATGGAGGGAATTGCAATCATTGTAATGAAACAAAGTATTCAATTTGTTTACTGTAAAATTGATAATCTTCTCTGTAAACCTTCACTCAATTAACAATAAAAAGTCTAAAAACAAGAAAGAGAAAAGGCCACTAAAATTTTGTAACAAAGAAGACGTTTTATGATTATGCATTAGGCGTTTCATTTGACTGACTGATGAGACGAAAGTCAATTTCTAAGTGGTTAAAGTTTTTTACTGACTGGAAATCACACTAATCTTTGAAAAAATTGGAATGAAAAGAAAGATATGGTATTATATATATTTCAGGAAACAGAGAGGAAAGGGATGGGAAATGATATTTCATGACAAGAAAAGCAGTTGGTGAAGGATTCAGAGGGACAACGAATGGACCAATCTTAAAGTCCCTGAGGGGACAGTTACAAGGACACAAGAAGGGGTTAGCCCTGGAAAGGAGCCTTGCTTCCTCTAACACAAGGATGATGGAAGGGAGAGCTGGGGATGAAGGAAGACAACAAAGATCAAGCTTCTTAATGAGATAGAGAATGTATCTTTTCAAGTGGTGAAGCCACAGGTTATCATTTCACCTGCCACAGTAGCTAATAAATGAGTTATTGGAAAGCATGAAATGAGTTAACTGCTAACTTACCCATTCTTTTCTTCTTACCCATATTCTAAAACAAGACATAATATAGGAAGAACAAACAGACTTTTAAGCCTTTAAAAAAAAAAGAGTACAGAGATGGGTAATAAACACTGGTTAGTACCTTTAAGAGGAACGAGACAAACTTTGAAGGTCTTCAGAAAACTATCAAAAAAAAAAAGAATTTTGCAAAGCAGTCAAGCTGACCCACTACCATATTCCCAATCAAAATACTTACCCAAACGCAGAAAAGAAAGCACAGTCATCATGCAAAATACTCGCTACTCTTTCAAAAACTCTATAGTTGCTTGAATCCTTTTGCTCGAAATATCCAATGATACTTATCTTGCTGCGCTGTAAAATAAAGCACGTAATTTTTCTGCAAACATACACAGTTCTAGAAACACATTTTACCCTTATTGTGGTACAAAAGCAGCTTCAGCTATTCATCTACTTCCAAATGAAGTATGACAGTAAGCGTATATTTGACTTTTTTAACAGCGATTACAAAAGTATTGAAGATTACATTCGGTAAGAACAATCTTAACTACAAGAAAACATAATTATAAACATTTTCTTCTTGTATTTTATTTGAAAATGTCAAATAAGCTAACTATTTAGCCAGAGACAATCCTTTCCTAATTAAGTGACCTGTGATGTAAGTAATAAAGCCTTTTGTTATTGACCCAGAAGCCTAGAGTCTTCTGAGACATCTGGGAAACAGCTAGCTTGTAAGTAGGGTAAAATCAAATCTCTGATCTGACGGTGACAATCTGAACAAACCTAAGCTCAATTATCTTTTGTTGGTGTTTTGTTATTTTTTTAAACACCACTTCTTGTTGTTGTTAGGTGCCATCGAGGTGACACCAACTTATTGCGACCTTATGCACAACACACGACTATTTACATCAACCTCACCAGATGGAATACACAGAAATCAAACTGACTACATTATGCCTCGTAAGGAGTCCTGGTGTGGTGCTGCATGTTAATGTGCTGGACTGCAAATTCGCTTTGAACCACAGGTCAGTCTGTGGTTCAAGTTCACCAGTCTCTCCTCAGAAACCGTATCCAGGGATGCTATGAGTAGGAACTGACTCAATGGCACTTAACAACATACCTCATAAACACCTTAGCATGCTAATGAAGAGGTTTGCTAAGCTTATCATTAAGAAAAACTATTTTAAAGCATGGAGTCCCTGGATGACACAATTAAGTGCTTGTCTATAAACTGAAAGGCTGTTGTTGCTGTTGTTGTTCAGCGCCGTTGAGTTGGTTCTGACCCATAGTGACCCTGTATAGAGTTTCAGAGGAGTGGCCAACCTTGCAGTTCAATCTAATTTTGCAGTCCAGCATATTAATCCATAATGCCACACCAGGATTCCAACCGAAAGGCTACAGGACACTAAAACTTATAGAAAGAGCTGATAAAAGAGACCATAGCAGAGATCCCGAGAGTCCTCACTAAGGAAAATGTGGAAATTAGTTATGTATGCTTCTATTTCTTTATAATCTAGGCTTACCTTTTTTCCTCAATTCAAATTCCAGCAACTCTTACTGTATGTTCTACATTTTGTCCACAAGTTCAGTAAAATACTAGCATTTTTCCTTGATAATTAATTTTTAAAAATTCAACTCACTGAAATATGCGTACATCAGATGTATTGCAATGGACGATCAGAGACTGTCAAAACTCTTGTTTGTATAAGAATTTGTTCACTTCCTTTAGCCAGGCAATGTTTATTTGATCCAGCCAAGTTAACAACTTACATCAATAGTGGTGACTTCTTCTAAGCTGTGAAGTTCTTGAATTGGGTCGCTTTTTTGTTGTCTGATGTAATCTGCAAGTGCTTTCACTGACCGCTGACCCCTGTATTCTCTCTTCATCATCATTCCATTACGAAACAATTTCAGGGTTGGGTATTTGCTTATCCTATATCTCTGGGCTATATCAGCTAAAAGGATGAAAAAAAATTGACTTTACACTTATAGTTGGTTAGGATGAGTCCATTAGTTGAAAACTCAAAGTACGAAAATTAACCAGTGAACACTTTTTGATTTGTGTTGGTCTTTTCTCAGTGACAGACTAAACAAAATTCATCATAATTTGAAGTTACGGTAGTTAAGAAGCAAGGCTCCGAACACAGAATGCCTGGTTTTATATTCCTAATTTATTACTAACTGGGTGTGTGAATTGGGGTAAATTGCTTAAATATTGACTGAGCTTCAGATCTTTTGTTGTTGTTAAGTGTCGTTGAATCGGTTCTGACTCACAGCAACTCTGTCTAGGGTTTCTGAGGAGCAGCTGGTGAACTTGAACCACCAACCTTGCAGTTCAAACTGATCTTGTACTCCAGAGCATTAACCCACAGCACCACACCAGGATTCCATAATCTGTTATATTGTTGTTGTTGTTAAGTGCCGTCGAGTCGGTTCCGACCCATAGCGACCCTGTACAGGGTTTCCAAGGGTGTAAATCCTTACGGGAGTAGAAAGCCTCATCTTTCTCCCGCAGAGCAGCTGGTAGTTTCGAACCGCTGACCTTAAGGTTCGCAGCCCAATTCGTAACCACTACGCTACCAGAGCTCCTTTTATATAGGGATAATAATTTCAGCCATACAGGTTTGTTTTAAGGATTAAATGGGATAATGCAAATATGTTAAATAATGTCTGAAATTATTATTACATGTACAAATAAATGTTTGTAATTATTATTATATATACATTCAGACAAGAACTAGGATGCCTATAGTCTGAATAGGGGAAATAATATTAAGATGCTTGATTGTCTTATGAATATTGGTTTCCCTTGCTTACTACTATAAAATAGACACTTGAGTAGGATAGAAAGGAATGTTGGGAAACATGATTACAGAAAGCTTATAAGCCCACCTTCAGCCTACAACTGATTGGAATACCTAAAAGGGGTTCTAGAACTTGCACAGTGAAATAGTCCTCTTGTGGAGCCTTTGCAGAATATAGGACCTTAGATGGAATCCAGAGCCCCATCCAGAACCTTCTGAGGTAGGACATTCCCACTAGAAAGGACAAGCAGACTGGCCTTGAACAGTTAGAGTGACAGAAGATATATCCTCAAAGAAAGACCATCAGGAAAAACCCAAAACAAAAATAAGTAAGTTGTTTGCTGGGAAGTCATCAAGGCAAGCAGTCAAGTTCCCTCAGGACAAACCCATCTCTAAGACTGAAACTCAGAGGGAACACAGGAACAGGCATGTAAGCTTGCTGATGACCACGTTGGTCTACTGATGAGTGGAAGAGGGGAAAGGCAGCAATGAAGAAATGGGCTGTTTGACCATGTTCCATGGACTCCAATTGACCTGGAGATGAGAGAGAGAAGAGCAAAGACTGGTTGGTCCAAAGTGTGGTGAGACCTGGGGACACCTGAGCCCATGGACAAAGACATAGTCATGGAGGGCTAGAGCTGAGAGTGAAGCATCCAGCTGATATGAAATGAGGGGAGATGCACAAGAACACTCAAACTTGCAGATAGTACCCATTTGACTTAGCTTTGATGGCTTGATGATCAGAACTATAGGAAGATAAAAAACAAAAACAAAAAATTTTTGATAAAGTAAATAAGGGTAAATTTCTACAATTTGATGAACTTGACCTATATTCATGGAGGTAGTAACTCCAAATACCAACAGAGAGGGAAGGATTTGTCACATCAAGTATCAATGCTATCTGTACACAGGGTAGCTAGGGATGGGCAACTTGGACATTGGCTACCTAAAAGGAGCTCTGGTAGTATAATGGTTACAAATCAGACTGCAAACCACAAGGTCAGCAGTTTGAAACTACCAGCTGCTCCGCGGGAGAAAGTTGAGGCTTTCTGCTCCCATAAATATTTACAGCTTCGGAAACTCTGTTCAGGGTTGCTATGGGTCGGAACCGACTCGACGGCACTTAACAACAACAACAACCTAAAATGAGGGGCAATAAAGGCACAAAGTGACTGGCTTACAAGGTTTCAACAGGGAGTTTAGTTTAAGAGTGTATGAGGGAAGACAGAGTCCCCACTGAATAATTTTCATCTTGTCTAGATGGGTCTGGTAAAAAGAGATACAGATAAGATTCTTATGATTCAATAGTGAGTAACTATTATCATGACTAATTACGACTGTCACAACTGTAAAGGTAGAATTTTTTTTAAATGTTTTATTGTGAATTATATGATAGTTTACATGGGAGAACTTTAGTTTAACATTCATTCCATCGTGTATCGTTTCAATGCCATGGTTCCAATCCCCTCCAAGCATCATCAACCGACCAAACCTGCCCCCTACACTCCCCCCTCTCCCCTCAGTCTTCCGCACACAGTCCCTCTCCCTCTCTGGATCCAATGTAAAGGTAGAAGTTTTGTAACAAAAACAGGGGAGTAGTTAATCTTACAGTCCAGAAACAGAGGCCCCTAGGACCATTAAGGGAGAAGAGCACAAGCGGAATATGGGACATTAATGGAGGCAGAGATGGGGACATGGAGAGAGGGAGCAGCTGAGGACTCTAGATTCATGGGAAGAGAGGGGCTGAGAGCTGCTGGCCAGGAGGCAGACTTGCAGAATGTGCCCTTTGGTGGTTTAAATTATTATATATGCCTGAGTGTTTAAAAAAAAAAAAAAAAAAAAGACCTAAAATTAATAGAGAGAAATACTGTTAACTGATGGTACATGGAGGGGATTATAATCATTGTAATGAAACAAAAGTTGTATGATTTGTTGAATGTGAGGCTGATGATCTATCTGCCTTTTGAACTTTCACTCAATTCACAATAAAAAACATTAAAAAAAAATTAGGATGCCTAAAAAGTTTCAATTTTTAAAATAGAGTCAATAAAGCCACTTTATAAGTACTGTGAGTATATCTTAGAATATTTAATAGAATTTAATTTAAATAACTCTCAAACACTGAAAACTAACATTCGATTCTTTGCCAGTAGAACTATTTATAACTCCAAATAAAGAAACTTTGTTTAACACTATACATAAAAAGCCAAACTCAGCAGTATAAACTAAAAAAAAAAAAAAATCCTCATCATGACTTATGGGAATATATTCTTGTGCCACAGATTTTTAAAAAACAAGCATTATTCTTCTTTAAAATTAGAGTTTACAGTTCCACAATAAGAAGCAAAACCAAAATGTGTGCTGATCTAATTTTTAAGAATCACTAAAATATAATAAACTCATTCAGAATGGAAAAGCCTTTTTATTTTTTTGATGCCCTTTCTAAGAGGTGGGAAATAGAAATCAATGTCTTCCAGACACTAGTAAAGTTATAATGGAATGAGATGGATAAAACAGGGAACTGGATTTTTAGAATAAAGAAGACTTTAGGTAGCACTGAGATGTCTTAGCATAGTTTAAAAATATAATTTTAAAGCTTTATATATCACAGTTATAAAATGGGTCACAATTCTAAAATGGGTAAAAAAATACCTTTTTGGATACTTTTGACTATGGAACCATGGAAACGTAAACATTAAAACAGAATTAGATGTTTTTGTTTAAAAAAAAAAAAAAAAAGCTAAATTAACATGTATTTTGTTATTTAGGTACTTACCACAATAACAACACAAAAACCAAATCAACAAAGAAATTTAAATCTAGAAACCCCATCTATACAGCTGGTAGTATTAAACACAAAAAAAAGAGAGATTTCAAATAATTTTAAAACTTTGAAAAATGGTATTTTGATTGAACATCTTCAGTGAGAGTAAATGCTAAGGATTAAAAACACAAAGAAATCTAACAAAAACTGCATTTAGGCAGTACATTGTTGTTTGTAAAAGAACAAACTGGCATTAGTATTTTGAAATTACAAATGTAATATACATTACAAATACAGCACAAGAGAAAGTATGTTGATGCCATTAAGAAGAAAGATTTTTCAGCATAAGATACAAATACAAAATTAAGAAAATTTAGTAAAACCCTGTAACATTTCATTTCAATAGTTTCAGCATGAACTCGCTATCAAAATTATGTATTTCTAAGCTTTGTCCACTGGTAGATTCACTGGTAATTCCCATCAAATATTTAATAAAGAAAGAACAGCACTTCTTTCTACACAAATTTTCCAGAAAAGGGAATATCTACGAAGTCATATTCTGATACCAAAACTGGCAAAGACATTATAAGAAAATTACAGATCACTGAACTACTAATCACAAGGTCAGCAGTTCAAATCAATCAATTGCTCCATGGAAGAAAGATGAAGCTTTCTGCTCCTGTAAAGACTGACAGCCTGGGAAACATCCTATATGGGCTCACAAGGTGTTAGAATTGACTCGATGGAGGTTGAATTACACCTCATAAACAAAACTAGAGAATTTACACTTCTGGACTATCCAAATTATTTTTTTACATAAGAATTTTTTACTTTAATTAAACAGGCAATGATGATTTGATGCAACAAACTATTGGCTACATCAATATCCAAATAAACAAATACCCAACAAATTGATGGAGAAACACTGCAATCCTCTATTTGAGATAGAAAGAAAGACACCTGCTATTACCACCAGTGTGGCACTGTGGGTTAATGTGCTGGATTGCAGTGTCAGTTTGAACCACAAGGTCAGCGGTTCAAGCTCACCAGCTGCTCCTTGGAAACCCTATACAGGGTTGTAATTGGTTGGAACCAACTCGATGGTACTTAACAACAAAAATAACAATTACCTGGTGTGGTGCTACAGTATGAGCACTAGGCCGCAAGGCTGGTTTGAACTGCAAGATCTGTGGTTCAAACTCACCAGCCATTTTTGGAAACCCAATACAGGGTCATTATGAGTTAAAACTGACTCAATGTCACATAACGCCAACAAATACCACTTTAAGTTTGGTCAGTATTAAGTGTATAATCTTCACATTAATCACTGAGTCAATTTCTACTTATTAGTCAGTCTAATAAAACAAGAAAAGCCAATAGAGTATAC